ACAAATCACTTGGTTCGGAGAGTGCCATCTAAGTGTTAAACCCGCTGAATTTTTTAGCAAAACCCACGTTTAGCTAAAAGCAGCATCTGTACTGGAGTGCTGGGCAAAACCAGGTAATTTTAAAGACAACAGACTGATACTGATATTTCTGTACTCCTGATCTTGGTCAGACCCTAGTTACAAACCCATAACTCAACAGCTGAAATTCCAAATACAGTCGTTTCAAGCTTCTGTCTTCTGCAGAAGAATTGCTCATCAATAGTAGATCAAAAAGCTTTGAATTGATCAAAGCAGTGCCAGACAAGGGGAAACAAGGTGGTAAAATCTGTTTGGGCCTTCAATGAAAACCCTGTTACACAACCTGTTACAAAGAGGTTGAGGCAATATACTTTTAAGGATGAAAAGAGGAATAAAAGCAGCAAAATGCAGCAAAGAATTTTCTGCCTGTGCTCATACATGAAAACAAAGACATTCTTCAGTCCTTGAAAAGCTGGCGGTCTAAATCCCTCTGCTTACAGTTTGTTGTACGTAGGTGAACTATTGTGTCTGTGAGAAACCCCGATAACCCCAGAAGGTTTTGGCACGGTTACAGCAGTTGCTTTTCTCAGAAAAGACCAGATGAGAGCTTTTAATTTGTGATATAACAAGGAGGATAAAAACGGAGGGGGCTGGGGGGAGGAGGCCAGGATGGAGTGTGACAAAGCTGGGAAGGAAGCTGTGGTTGCTTTATTCAAGGATAAATTTATAACCTTGATGGAGAAGGGATTCTTTTTTTTTTTATTTGCTGTTTGCTTTACTAACTTGGTGATGCTGCAGTAAAATTTTATAGTAGATTTGAATGAACAAATGGCAGCAACTGAGTTTTCCATCCCAAGAACAGGATATGGAGCTGGATGGAAGGAGGAACAACTCGGTGGAATCTCTTCTGATTGCTTTGTCAATACCCGTATTTGTCTGGTTTCCTTTGCTGCCAGGCAGGGTTAGTGCTTCAACTGAAACAAGTGATGTGGAGTGTGCTTCTGAATTCCAGAACTCCCAAAATGTTAACATGCTTACATCTTTTTATTATTATTTCTGTGCTACTAATTACATTTTCAGAAGGGAAATCTAGCAAGCTGTTGACAGTCATCAGTTTGATACTGAAAATCAGCATTTGCTTGTGGTTCCTTTAAAATAAAATCAAAGAGCAACAATTAGTACAGATGTCACCAGAAATACTCCAGTTACTCTGCAGATGTACATGGTCAGTATTGCTATTTGATTCTTAAGGGTTTTCTTTAATAAGCGGATTAAATACCTCTTTCAGCCTTAGCCAGAAAGCTCAGGAAAGAGGCTTAATCTTTTATGGACTTGTGACTATTATTTAGCCACACGGTGTTTCCTGACAACATAAACTAGACGGTCATATTCAGAGCATACTGATACATCTAAAAGTGCATGTGTGTTTGTATGTGATTAATGCTAACTTTAAAAAAGTCTTTAATCTGGGGAGATAATCTTGAATTGGTAATTCCTCGCAATCGAGGCAGTCCAGACTAGCGTGTATGCACTGTTGCCATTATGCGGTAAAGGGCACATACGCAAAATCCGACTTCCACAGTTCATCAGCGCATTTTATCCAACTCAAAATCTTCACAACAACAGTGGAGGCTTTTTGCATTCGTTATAAATACTCACCTCTTGTCTGTGGGAAACATCCGTTGTATGACAAGCCATGACAAAGTAGCCAAAGCATGCACATGGTTCATCAAAAAGCATGTTATTAGTGCATATTGAGCGCCACTAGTAATTTCTGCACATTTCCAGTAATATTTAACATCCCAGTATGTTCTTTTATATAGCTATTGAAATGTAATCACATTATGCACCTGCCTTTTGATTTAGGGAGTAGGGAAAACAGAATGAATGCGCCGGAGTGAGCAGTGCAACTGGTTTTGCTCAGAAGTTCCTCGGTTCTTCCTGCCTCACCATCAGCCAGAATGCTGGCATACCAAGTGTTGTTTAGAACATCATCATCGTAACTCTGAAGTTAGATAAGCAAATACTTCCAGCAAAATTAAAAATCACTTGCCACTCGACTTCATTGCCGTAACTTCGAAGCGCAGCCAGTTCCCATGAGCTGCACCGACAGGGAGGTGACAGCCACACGGATATTCAGAATTTCCGAATTTCTTGCAAGCAGGTGTTTCCAAAGCGTGACACTTTGACAAATGAAAATGATCTGAAGAAATCAGTTTGAGCCAGGCAGTGACTGGAGTGGAAAATTCTGCTTATGCCACATAGAAGACGCGGTTACATTACTTCAAACTTTTTGGTACTTTTTTTTTTCTGTTTGAAAGCAGGTAATATTTCATGCCATGCTGTGAACCCTTGGCTGTTGATGTTCTGCCGCTTGCTCCTTGCAGGACACTTTGATTTAATTTCATCTGTTGCATGCGACTGTGAAAGGGATGCCCTTGCCTTCACCGTCTCATTTCCTGACGATGGCCCCGGCACAGGGGCAGTCGGTGCAGCCAGATCTCCAGCTTCTCTTGTCGCTCCTTTTATATGACTCCTGTTAGGTTTCCCTTTTCCCTTGACTACCGAAGGAAGTGTCGATGCTGAAGCCTTTGTTCTTCACTGGAAAAAAATCAGTGCTTTTTGCTTGTATTATCAGTCTGCTCTGGCAGAATATTGGCATGGAACAGCAAATGAACAGAGCTGTAACCTGTGCTTGAATGACTCAGATAAGAATATTACTTCCACCTAGCTGATACGAATTTCCAAAATATACTTTTTAAGAATAAGAAAATGAGAGTTTGGGGCTGTATTGCTAAAGGTTTTTTTTTCCCTTTTGGGAAGGGGGGTGTATTAGAGGTGTAGATGATTTTGTTTAAACTGCTGAATATTTCCAGTTTTGGCATTGAACAAACCATATAAAATTGGAGGACCTGTTCCACTGAAGTAGTAACTGTTTTCTGCAGCAGGGGGTTCCTTAAATGTCTTACATCTCCCGAACTGCTGGCACAAAGTCGTGCCAGAGTACAGTATATACATGTAAGAGAGCAGCAAAGCCATTGTTTTCCCAGGTTCGTTTAGATGATTAATTGTTAGAAATATTAAGTGTTCTGAAGGAAAGCGTCGGTGTTCATGGTGATATAAAAGGGTGATAGGTAGTTTTCAGTGGCTAAAACGGTAGTAACTGGAAGGAGTTAATGAGTTAGCCTGACACTTTGTGATGTGGTTTTCCAGAATACAGCACAAACAATGTTTCTGATTCTCATCTTTTAGCCGTAAAATGATAGTTGGACTACAACGGATTTACCCCTGACTTCGGCAATGCCTGGTGGCCAAAACCAGATTCACTGTCTTTTTGGTTTAAAGCGTGGTTTTAACAGACGGTGAAAAATGGTACGATGTGGGATCGGCGGTGGTTCTAGCCATCCTGGCAGTTCCAAAGTGGCGTCATTTTCCTTGCATGCTGAGGTGGGACTGGGTTCTGAGCAGTGAATGCTTCATACGGTGGAAGCACTGGGTGTGCAAAAAACCAGATAGCTTTTCCCTGTGTTACTGGAGTGCAGCTTCTCGCACGTACCTGCCGGCCAGCGACCTCACCGTCCTTTTACATGGTCATCACTTCTTCAGCTGTAAAAAAGTTTGTTCATCTAGTTGTTAGGGTCTGAATCTGGAAGACAGCATGAAGTGTCTGTGATGGTGAGAAGAACAGAGGCAGAAGCACTCGCCTCACTCCGCATCGGTGGATTGCAAAGGGTTCAG